AAAAAATGCTCACCATCTCTAGCTGTCTGAGAAATGCAAATCAAAACCACCCTAAGATACCATCTCACTCCAGTAAGATTGGCAGCCTTTAGGAAGTCAAACAACAACAAGTGCTGGCGAGGATGTGGGGAAAAGGGTACACTTGTACATTGCTGGTGGGACTGCAAATTGGTGCAGCCAATTTGGAAAGCAGTATGGAGATTTCTTGGAAAGCTGGGAATGGAGCCACCATTTGACCCAGCTATTCCCCTTCACGGTCTATTCCCTAAAGACCTAAAAAGAGCATGCTACAGGGACACTGCTACATCGATGTTCATAGCAGCACAATTCACAATAGCAAGACTGTGGAACCAACCTAGATGCCCTTCAATAGACGAATGGATAAAAAAAATGTGGCATTTATACACAATGGAGTATTACTCTGCATTAAAAAATGACAAAATCATAGAATTTGCAGGGAAATGGATGGCATTAGAGCAGATTATGCTAAGTCAAGCTAGGCAATCCCTAAAAAACAAATGCCAAATGTCTTCTTTGATATAAGGAGAGTAACTATGATCAGAGTAGGGACGAAGAGCAGGAGAAGAAGATTAACATTTAACAGGGATGAGAGGTGGGAGGGAAAGGGAGAGAGAAGGGAAATTGCATGGAAATGGAAGGAGACCCTCAGGGTTATACAGTGGAGGGGGTAGAGAGAGAGGAGGGGAGGGGAGGGGAGAGGTGGGGAGGGGGGAGGGTGGAGGATGGGAAAGGCAGCGGAGCACAACAGACACTAGTATGGCAATATGTGAATCAATGGATGTGTAACTGATGTGATTTTGCAATCTGTGTATGGGGTGAAGGTGGGAGTTCATAACCCACTTGAATCAAAGTGTGGAATATGATATGTCAAGAAATTTGTAATGTTTTGAACAACCAACAATAAAAAATTTAAAAAGAAATAAATACAGGCAAGAAAGTGAATAGAAATTGTGTAGCTATATCTGAGTTCCAGAGAGAGATCTAGAATGATGTGATGGCATATAAGTGACTTAAGAACATGAGAAAATCCAGAGACAATGTGATCAAGCTCCAACTTTGGAGAACAGCAGTATTTAACAATGTGGAAAAGAAAACCAGAACAACAAAGGAAATAAAGAAGAAGTGTTCTGAGAAGTGGAAAAACTTAGGAAAAAAATGGTATCTGAAAACCAAGAAAGGAACAAATTTTAAGGGAAAAAAACAACCAGGGACCAGCTGCTGGCCCCATCCTGATGCCTGATCTAGAAAGAACTTGGAAGGCAAGGATTGGGCCAGCAACCCAGGCCAATCCAGCTCGATGCTCCTAGTAGCTAACCACCATAGCCCACCTCATGATGAATGGTGACCAGCTGGTAAGGAATAGACAAGCCAGACCTGCCAGAGGACAACCTGGCCTATAAGGAAAGACACTGATGCTGGCAGTATTAAAACTTCCATCCTCAGGCCCTGACTGGCCACTGGCCCTGGACAGCTGAATAATGGTCAAGGCTTAGAGGGCAGAATTCTTAGTCAGCCTGCCCCCAGTATCAGGGGTCAGTCCACTCTACCCAGGACCATCAACAGGTACTCAAAGCAAGCAAGGTAAGGACTGAACTACTGGACCTTGCAACTGGGATGTGAATTTCCTCAGGGCAAATTCAGTGTCCTAGTGGTGTTTTGCTCCAGAGTGGGGACACAATCAAAGGCAAAAGCCTTATAGAGAAGAAACTTACCTCCGTCTAGAAGAGGAAATGAAGTGAGCACAGACAGAATTAGGTTTACAGGTAGGAGTGAGAAGCTGTGTGAGTCAAGGAGAACCCCATCACAGAGCAGTAGGAGGCAACTCACCAGCAAGGACAGGGAGAGCAGAGGGACTAATGGGAAGTTTAAGAGGAAGAGTAAATATCTAGAGCTAGCTGTTTGAGGAATGGTGCAGAGAGTTAATCAAGGACACTTTTAAAAAGGAATCTAGAGCAAGGCATTAGCTAAAGTTAAAACTGTACTTTTATAAACAACTGATCAATACCAAATTTTTCAGTTTTCAGTTATCCTGGTAAAGGAAGGGATCATTGTTATCAACATAGATATACAGAAAAGAAAAGATAGATAGGACAAAGACTTAATCTAGCAAACCTAGAAGACTTTCAATATCTATGTTCAAAATGAATTTATCATCCTCAGCCAAACACATCTCTTCTAGATCCTGAATTCCCTATTTTAGTGGATGGCTCCATAGCCTGTCTGAAATAAGGTCATCCTAGACTCCAGCTTCTTTCCCCTATGTCTTCACATTCAATCTGATCCATTCTGTTTCCTTAATAGCACACCTGCCCTTTGACTCTCTGTGCATTTGCACAGCAGCTCCTTCTGCAGTGAACCATCTAGCCCTCCATTTTACATGATTCCCCCTCATCTTTTGTAACTTAGTTCATACATCACTCCCTCATGAAAGCCTTCCCTCACATCCCTTTTCCTCTCATCTTCAGAGAAGAGCATCCTGGCCATATCTCTTTTAAAACACTTTACTGTAATTGTCTATTCTCCCACTTTGCCCATAAAGCTAAGTTCCTTGCCAGCAAGATTATGTCTTTTATTTTGAGCAACCAGTATCTAGCACAGAAATGTTTGTTGAATTAATGAATAATTCTAAATTATAGCACTGAAGTACAAAATAAAAGACTAGCATTTGAGAGTAATTGTCTGCTGTTGGTCAAAATGGCAGGAGGCAATTCACAAAGGAGTGCATCATGATGTAGAAGAAATGGTATTCAAGGAGAATTATCATGGATTAAAGCAACATTTCTGTGAGTCTTAGGTCTATTATGACATATGCATGGTTGTATTTAAGAATGCTAATACTACCTCTCCAGTGGATAGTGGCCACTATCTGCCCAATAAAAAGACAAATATCACCTTCATCAACAGCACCCCAGCCATTGTGTGAGGAAGAAGCAGTGATTGAAGAAATGCTTCTTCATCTCTGGAGCTTTGGGGCAAGCTTCCCCATGTCTTCATGAGACAGATAAATGACACAAGTTTCCAAGTAATGATTTAGGACCTCCTAGAACTCAAAAGTAATTTTAGGATATTTGTGTTAAAGAAATAAAATCCTGTCTCATATTCTTACTCCAACTGACCCATCCCTTTGTTATGAAGAAAAACACCAAAAAAGAAAAGAAATCCAAATATCAGCTATGAGTGTTCATGTGATAACAACATCTATTCTCATACAAGTAATGACTGCCCCGAGTCCTCTCATGCTTAGCATGTGACTCTGAGGCCACAAACCTTCCTCTTAGAATGATATGTAAGCTGATTTATTCCGTGGGAATTTCTAAGAAAGTTGTTCCCTAATTATTACAAATTCTTCTTTATATTAACAACACTGTCTTGTAATCAGAGCATAGAAACATTCAATACTTGTTTTTTTTTACCAGCAAAATATTGCCATTGTGCTAAAATAATTAATGGAACAATTTCCTTGAATAACATCTTTAACCTCTCTTAACAGTTCCTCATCTGTAAAATGAGGATGAAAATCCCTGCATCCTGGGATGGCTATAAAGATTATAGCTAGTGTTTATGTGTACAAAAGCAACTACTGCCGTGCTTGGCCCAGACTCTGCTAATCACAAGAAGTCTCTACTTTCTATTTTCTATCATTTTTTTTATCTAATTTGATGTTTTTGGTGCAGATATCTGAAATTTAGTTTTGTTCATTTTTGTGAAAATACAGATAATAAACAAAAATATGTATCATTCACATGTATATTCATATGTGTTGGGGGGAGTATAGGTATGTCCCTCAAATAAGAATTTTTCTGTGTACTTATTTGGGGTCATCTCCATGAACAGATTTCAACTGAACTCAATAAAGTTAATAATTTGAATGATTAATTTTACAAATGAAAAGGAAATATCTATTCTTTGAAAGCTAAAAATATGCTGTATGGGGCTGGGGTTGTGGCTCAGTGGCAGAGCGCTTGCCTCGCACATGTGAGTAGCTGGGTTCGATCCTCAGCACCACATAAAAATGAATAAACAAAATAAAGATATTGCATCCATCTATAACTAAAAAATATTTTAAAATATGCTGTAAAGAAGACATTCTCTTAGGGCTATATTTAGTTGGAATCAGACCTAACAGATAAATAGAGGCATTTTATTACATATGCTCTATATTTCAGCCATTTAATTATATTTTTCTAGGAACCACTCTTGGGATTTCTCTATTCTCAAACTAGATAAGGTATTCATATATAAAAGGTAAGACAAAAAAATTATGATCCCTATATTCTCAATTTAAAATTGAATTTTCAAAGCATTCCAATTTAATTTCCCTTGCTTAAGCAATAATTCACACATATAAGTGGAGGATAATTTAATTGAAAATTCATGATCCAAATACAAACTGTGCATAAAGGATTAACTTAGCAGGCCTGAGTCTGCTGTCCTTAGAAAGCCTTATGCTCAAGTTTGGCCCTTAACTGGCATCCAGGAACTTAAGATTTTGAGAGTTCCCACTATTCCCTGACTGACAAACTATGTGTAAATTGTTTGTATAAATAAACAACATGGCTTATGCTGAACATCCACTTTCCTTCGGGTAGCTGGAATTTTGATATGTGTAAGGCATTGGGTGTCTATGTGAGCTTCCTCAGTAGAGAAGATTTTGCATATGGGATAAAAATTCACCACTTTTTTTTCTTATTTGTTTTTTATATTGTAACTTACTAGGACATTTGAAAACCCTTACCAGGTAACTGTCAATTTATCAATTTTAGTTTCTTAGAAACCAATTTCTCTTTAGAGAATGATAATCAAGTATAAGCATTTTAATTTCAAAATGGAATATATTAATTAGTTTAAAAATATCTTATCTTTAGTTTTGAAAACTATATATATATAAATCAAACTCTACTTAAGTTACTTAAGTTCTGAACTCCTTAAACTATTTTCAAGTACTTCCCAATAAGTATCTCCAAAGGTAGAAAACTTACATTTTTTTGCAGTGTGGGCATTTTGCCAGAGTGTTGAACCTCAGTTCCATCCACTGTAAAATAAATAAAGAGGGATTGAAAAAAAAAAAAAAAAACAGCTGGAAACCATCCAATCTGATAAAATGCTTCTTTTAGTTTAAATGTCATCAGGGACGACAGCAGAAGCGATTGCCTTCTCATGGTTACATGAGTTTTTTCCTCCAACACTTCTCTCCTGCCCTCAAAATACAGTTTGGGATCTCCTTCTGAAACAGTTCCCATGACTTTTCCAAGGCTCTGACGCAATCTAGATTAGTTTTACAATGAAAACTGAATGTAATGAGGTAGTTAGGGTCATCTCCTTGCTCTTCACATTTCAGTTCACTTCCAGGGTATTTCATAGACCTTCCAAGTTGTTTATCCTTTAGTCTTGAAAATCAGACTACAGGAAAAGAGTTAGATTTATTACTATAATGCAACTATTTATTCTAGTTATGTGAATAGCCACAAAATACATAAACCACACAAACTAGATACTGGCCAACTGAAACCAAAAAACTACTTCTCCTTTGTCATTGTTTGCACAATGCAAAAAAAAAAACACAGTACTTCTTGGTACACTTTTCTTGTTTTCTTTCCTATAAATGTAGGTGATAGAATGTACTATCTTCTTCATAGGAATATTATTCAGATATTCAAAATGCCTTCCTGATAGTAGGTTAAAGTCTTTCAAAAAATATGCAATGAAAATTTAAATCTTTGCCCCATAATATGGATTTTTAAAGTGATTTCCTAATGTGCTGTGGGTGTGGCTCATGGTGGAGCATAAGCTGAACATGTGCAAGGTCCTCAGTTCACTCTGCCACACTCTATGTGACCCCCTCCATTCAAAAATGGCTTTTAACTTTCCACCTTGTTTATTTTTCTATATACCTTCTAGAAAAGATACGAGTATTATTTCTTTTATAGTTTTAGGGGAATTTCTTTAAGTACTTTAGTAGTTCATCATCAAACAACTTTTCCTCTATCAAAATTAATTTTATATAAGACTCTAGGTCATCAATTTTTCTTTCTAGAAGATTCAAATTGTAGGCAGCGAGGTTTCAAGAACTTATTCATATTTAAATGTTTTCCACACAATATAATTTTCAGAAAATATGTGAAACATGCTTTTTTCTAACAAATTTGGGTTTCTTGGACTCCTTCATCATTATGTCAAATATCATGAAATTTAATGAACTTTGATAATTTCTCTGTCACAATAGGAACATAGAGTCTTAAGACAGGGAAACTAGAAATAAAAATTCACATGACTGTTCATGTGAATTTTTTTACTTTCATTTATTTTTCAAGATTACTGTTTTTCAACATCTGAGAATATCAACCCAAGGCAACATCATCTTTGAAACAACAGCAAAACTTCCTCTCATTTACTTATACTTTGTAACAACTTGAATTATTTTGAAGTTACTTTTATCAGTAAAAGTTCTAGAAGTAATGTGCTGAACAGATTTACGTAGATTTTTACAGAAATCGGAACAGAACATTTGGTAGTAGAAGGATATAGAAATATTAAGTGCTCTTTTATATTTCCGTACGTTTAGCATAGTTGCTGAATTTGTAATGTCCTTTTAGATATAACCTATAAGTAACAAATTTCAGTTTTTCATAGTTAAAAGAAGCAAAAAGGATTGAAGAGGCATCTGCAAAACCCTGGGTCAAGAGTAACTCAGAATCCACACATTAGATTTTATTGTTATCTACAAGTACTCCCTTAAATGTCGCAAACTAAGAACAGAAAGGCATTCATTATTAAAAATGATTTTGTCATAATCTACTCAACTCAATTCAAATAACTGCTTTTGAAAAGAAGTTGACTTATGACTGTTCCTCTATTTAAAACATTGTTTCTTACACTTAGAATTTTGTTCCCAAAACTTGCAGTTTCAATAAACAAACAAAACTCATTTCTGTCAAGAAAGATCAAGAGCAATTTCCCTCAATCACAATCATTTCTAGAAGTCTTCCCATATTTTACTTATTTCTAAAAACCAATGTATTTAATAGACAAACTTAGTTTCCTAATATATATTTATTTAAACTTATCTTAGAAGGCTCAAAAAATATATATTACCTAAAATTAATAATTCAATAGTACCCTACTGGAATATATTTTTAATGGATATAACAGACAATGGTTAACATTGACTCTGAAATATATGTACATTAAAGTTATTGTCTTGCTGGGAATGGTGGTGCACACCATAATCCCAGCAGCTCCGGAGGCTGAGGCAGAAGGATCAATAGTTCAAAGCCAGCCTCAGCAAAAGCGATCTGCTAAGCAACTCAGTGAGATCCTATCTCTAAATAAAATACAAAATAGAGCTGGGGAAGTGGCTCAGTGGTTGAGTGTCCCTGAGTTCAAACCATGATAACCCCACCCCCTGTTACTTCTCTTGGCTCCTAGAATGCTGTCCCCTGGACTATCTATCACAATATATTAGAGGATCCTTCCCCAGAGCAATTCACCCCCACTCCAAAAAAAAAAACCTAAACTGTACTCTTCGTTCCAGCCAGACTGTGCAATAAATTGTATGAACAGTGCAAAGTCCTTGTCAATTTAACTTTAGCTTTATAATATTGATGTATTAAAAGATTATAGGCTAAATAAAATACAAAATAGGGCTGAGGATGTGGCTTAGTGGTCGAGCCCCCCCCCCCCTGAGTTCAATCCCTGATGCCAAATAAATAAATAAAGGCTAAATAGAAGAATGCTGTTGAAAACACAGCACATGCTATTATTTTATTTTAATACATGGGACAATTCTTTTTGATGTCTCAGTATTTCAGAAATAGATTCCAATCAGTGACTTACTCTTAAATATAAGTGAAATATGAATAAGACTTCTATCATAAAAGGAAAACAAATAGAAAAAATGAAAACAGAGACAAGAATATGCAAAAATAATGCCTCAGAAAAATACAATTAATGTTTTCTAAAAAAAATGCCATAAAGAAGAGAATTCTACAAAAAAAGGAGAAAAACAGAAAGGGATCAGAGAACAAGGCTTTTCAAAATTAAAAATTAAGTTAGATCATCTAAAATTAAAAGCTTTTCTTAAGTTTAGAAAAACTGAAGAATTTTAAATAATGTTGAAGAATTTTCCTAGTAAATTATCTAAGGAGTTCTAGAAAGGGAACAAATAAAATGGAGTGGGCTATAAAAGGCCTACTGAGGAGCCCAAAGACTCTCACTAAAGTACATCCTCATGGAATTTTGGGACAGTGAAGAAAATGAAAGAAGAGAACAGAAAATAAGAGAAAAAAAACAGAAAGAAATAGGTCATATAGAAAGTATCAGGAGTCATAATACAGCCAATTTTCTCTTGAACAGTGGCATAAAACCTTCAACTTTCCAAGAGGAGAAATTGGCAACCTTGAATTCTACATCTGGAAGAACCACAAAGGGAATGTGACATCAGATCAAAAACCATCTAAGAAATAAAAGGGTTAAAATTCATTTCTCTTCTCCTTCTTTTCTCAGAAAGTAAAGAGAGACTGTGCTCCACCACAATGAAGGAATAAGCCAAGAACAATCAGGACAGTGTGGGATCTAAACCAGAAAGGAGAAAGAGGAATTTTCAGGATGATGGTAAAGAATGACAGCTCAGTAGCAGGAAGCCTAAATAAAAGATTGCCTGACCCATTGGCCTATGTTAATGGGAAGTTTATAGTTTAATAAAAGAATATGGGAAGAACTAATGATTTATATATGAAAAATTAAACAAATCCAAAGGGGAGGTTGCTGTAGGTATTCTGACAGTGGAAATGTACAGGGAAGCATTCCCCTGGTGAGCAAACTCTGGGGGATGAGGGGTTGGGGGGGGTGTTACTGGTGCCCTGTTTCCCACACTTGGAATACCCAGCAGTTTCCCATTGAAGCTATTAAGGTAACTATGCAGGTGCACTCTCTAGTTTCTATGGTGACGTCCTTGGAGAAAAAGGCTCTGTATTTGTATTAACCTGGACATCATCTCAGTTAGCTAGCACTCAGGGTTAAAGGAATACTAGTTAGAATGTAGTTATAGAATGTAGTTATGGTATCTATGAGCTACGTAACTTTTGAGAAAAATAAACGCAGCTGCTGGGAGGAGCAGCCACTTCTCTTCTGCAGTGTGTGTGTGTGTGTGTGTGTGTGTGTGTGTTTGTGTATGTGCGCACACTTTTGTTTGCTTCTTTACAGGTTTCATTACAGGTTATAGTTATCTATAAATCCAAGAAAATGTTTATAGAGCCATATGAGAAAAATGTACCATATTACTTGACTAGGCTGTGAATGTAATTTACCTAATCATAAAAAAGCAAACACTAAGTAATATTATAACTTGACTGGGAATATGGAAACAGGTAAAGGAAGAAGAAAGGGAGGGTGGTATGAGGGCTAAATTCTACAACTTTACCTGTTTACATAATGTCTAAAATTGCTTAATCAAAAAGAAAAAGGATGCTCAAACAATGCAAACACATGGAAATATTAGCAGAACAGCTGGAAGAGTTGAAAGTACCTGGGGGATGAAAACTAGAGGTCAGCCAGATTAGGTGGCTGCAGTCCGATGTGACATTTAGAATTGTGCATATGAATTACCTTAATAAAAGCAAAAATTTGAAGAAGGGAAAAAAATCAAATCACCCACTCTTTTCTCAACTCACTCGTTCCTTAATGACAACAGGTCTTTTTTTAATATTTTTTTTATTGGTTGTTCAAAACATTACAATGTTCTTGACATATCATATTTCATACATTTGATTCAAGTGGTTATGAACTCCCATTCTTACCACGTATACAGATTGCAGATTCACATTGGTTACACATCCACATTTATACATACTGCCATATTAGTGTCTGTTGTATTTTGCTGCCATCTTGTTTATACCCTGGAAGGGACCTTTAATACTGAGGTTCTATTTTGTTCTCCAATAAAGATTGGACAACAAAAGAAAACCTGTTCTTTTTCTTCCTGATTAGGTAGGTCACTATGAAGTTAACTTTTTTAACATCAAACTTTGAGTTGAAATTAGAAGTAGTAAAACAATAAATTTCAATAACTATGGCTCATATGAAATTACTTATATTTTCTTATTTTTTATCCAAAAAATCATTAGCAGAATTCATATCTGTAATTTACAATGAGATAATTATCCATTTTTATCTTTTTGTCAAGCTAGCAAAACTTGACCAAAATCTGTAGTGCTAATTGCTTAATTTTCCTGAGATGTCAATTTATCACTTGTAAAATTGCAGCAAGATTACTATCTTATAGAAATCCTATATGGGTACCAAAGTTAATTTTTAAAATCTGATAAATTATAAGAACTGTTCTTGAATCTAGAAGCCATGAAGCAGAGCTACTGCATGAGATTGTGCACTCTGTGTTCTGCCAAGTAGGTGGGAGGAGAGCTAAGATTCTTTTGCTCACCATGTCAAAATAATCAGATTTAAAAAACAAAACAAAACAAAAAGATACCATAGCGTTAAACCTGGAGAGGGCACTGTTTTTCTTATTGACTTATCCAGAGAAGCCCCTCTTCTTTTGCAATTAGACCAATCAGAGCATGGATCTTTTGTCTAATTCACAAAAGATGCTGTATATCCTAGCTGTGCCTTTGATCATCTTTCTAAATAAGGCTCTTTTTTATTTTGATCAATTTGCTCATGGGCAAACAAACTCTAAGTCTATGAGCAGTTGTGAAATCTATAAGATCATGACCCGCTATTTACAGATTGATGCCCTCTGACGAATGTCCGATTACTTACCAGGAATGTGTTTCCACAGTGTCCACACACCACCCTTGTTCCTTCTGGTTGGATTGGCAATGCAGGCTGAGCTGGTTGCTCTTCAGAAATAAGCATTACTGGGCCAAGATTAATTATGCGTCTACTGTGGAATAAAAAAAGGTAAGTAAGTATTTCACTATCCTATAAATGGGCTAAGGGTTCAACCTACAATATACAGCCAAAAATATGGAATATTATCAGTGAAAATATACTTCTTTTGTAAATTAATGTCCAGTTTTAGAGCCAAAATCACAGAAAGTAGCAATAGTCACAAAAGTAAAAAAAAAAAAAAAAGTCTTTTTATGCTTGGAATAGAAACCATGTTATTGCACAGATTCAAATCAATGATCTTGGGAACAATTTAACTGCCATTTCCAAGATTTTATGTTTAAATCAGAGTACAGTTCTTATTCTAGAAGACAAATTAAGTTTTGTAGAAAACTGAGTAAGTTATATTCTACATCAACAAAAATGTGTATGTCGTAAAAGTATCGAAGTGCTGTTACAACTAAACTTCCCTGAGCAATCCAGTATTCTTTGATGCCTGTTTAATCAGAGATGAAAAGAAAGCAAAATGAGAGCCACTTTTCCTTTCTATTTTTCAGACTGTCATCAGATGGGCCTGTAATGATTCATGCAATGATCAAAGAATCAGAAATCACAGAAAAAACAGGTTAAAGTCTCTGTGTGAGTATGTGTGTGCATGTGTGTGTGTGTGTGTACCTATGTCTATATCTATATCTGTATCTAAGCATATTCATAATGGCATTTGGCAAAAGCAAATAATTCCAGAATTTATTATATATATTGTGCTCATCAGAAAGTAATGTAGCATACAATGAGATATATACAATAACAACCAATACATTTCTGGGTTAAAATTGACCACATCAAAGGTAAACCAACTGGTTCTTTTTAAATAGGTTCAATGAGCCATTGGTTTGTTATAGTGCATTAAGTACTTGCATACAAAGAAATCATTCATTGCTCACTCAAAAATATTATATCCTACAAACACCTATGACCATGAAGTTCTAAGCATGTCATTTCATTAACAAAAAGCAAACAACAACAACAAAATACTAATCTAGATGCTATAATCAGCTTAAGGGCAAATACTGTCTAGAACAAAGCCTGGCATATAATGAGCCTTTAATAAATAGTTGTTGAATGAACAAATGAATGAATCTTTATCTCTTACCAGTTGGGTCTCGGACATCCTATTCGCCGAGATGTGTCCTTACAAATGAGGAGACAATTACAAGGGCATCTAACATATTTCTTCCCTGTCGGGGGGTTTTTGATTGGCTACATAAGGGAAGAAAATGCAAACACAGCAAATTAACCAAGATACAGATTGTCAAAGCTTGTTTGTGTTTAATAAGGAAATGATTCCTTTAAAACTAAAGCTCCCCAAAGTGCTACCAAAGTACCTAAGAAAAGGTGCACTGCAAGTGGTTCAAATAGCACACATGTTGGCAAGCACTCTATGATATTTTGGGAGCTGGTAGAGATTAATTTTTAAGGGAATATTTCAAAATGAGTTTGTACTGACTTTTTAATATACGAGGAATATTTATCACACACCAAGAGTTGTTTTCCCTTTAAATTTCACAAGACAAGGTTATCTCTCTTTCTCTCTCTGGCCAGGTGCAAGTATTCATAGAAGATTCCTGCCCCTGTCCAGGAAAAGCAAGCTCAGTAAGAACAATGGGAAAAGTGGAGTTCAGAACACATTTGAACTTTTCTCAAACTTCATTCAATAGAATATAAATGATTAATTTTATGACATAACTTTTTTAAAAATCTTGTAATTGCTCTTAATACTAGCATTTAAAAAAAACTTTGGAGTAAACTTAAAAATGAGAATAAATAACATCAAAGGAAATATCACTTGCAATAACTTAAGCTTGTTGAACTAAATAATCTATGAACGGAACAGAACATCACTCCTGTAACATTCCTGCCAAAAAAGTATGACCTGAAGCTAATCATGTGGAAACATCAGACAAACTCCAAACTGAGAGACATTCTACAAAATATCTTGCCTGTAATGTTAGAAAAATAAAAGATGAAGAAAGAACAAGTTTCAGATAAAAGGACAGTAAAGAGATATGACAACCTAATACAACAAGCGATTCTGGTTTGATTCCTGGAGTAGAATATTTTTTTTTCCTCCATAGAGGACTAACAAGACAATCAGGAAAACATGAATTAGGTCAAAAGATTAGATAATATATTGTATCTATATTAATTTCTTACATTTGATTATTTTTCTGTGATTATTTAAGTTAATTCCCTTGGTTTTAGAAAATCTAGACTAGAAAAAATTACTTAGGAAAAGCTAATGTAATATAATGCTAATATTTGGGGAGTTTGTAATTAAGAGACACACGGGAATTTATCATCTACCTACAGATGGCTCCTGAATTTCAAGAGTTCTACTTAATAATTTTTCAGTGGTGTGAAAGTGATGTGCATTGGGTAGAAATCATATTTAGAGATTTGAATTTTGATCTTTTTCTGGGCTAGAGATATGTAGCATGATATTTCAAGATGCTGGGAAGAGGCAATGAGCTGCAGCTCCCAATCAGTCAGGCAATCTCAAAGAGAAACAATCTACATTGTACAGTGGACTGTGCAGCTGACCTGGGATGTTTGGTAGGGTAGGTATATTAATACATTTTCAATTGACCATATGTTCAATTTACAAAGGGCTAACTAATACAAAATCCCATTGGAAGTTGAGGTTATATTCAGTATTATTACAAAAATAATACATACTATCATTTTTAACTATTTAAACTTTTTTATGTGTAATATTTTTTAAAAAGATGTAAAAATTTTAAAGTAAATAACCTTGATAAAAATATATGAAAGTTAATAAGCCACCTATGATTTACTAAAGTGTAGATGTAGATAACTAACTCCAAATATCTCAAATTCACAAACATCCAGAATGTATACCTATAATTTCTGAAGTATTGAGAAAAAATAGAATAGAAGAATTAATTTGTGTATATCCAAAATTTGCCATTAAGAAACTGCTTGACAAAGGACAGGATTTTTAAAAAATATCTTCTTCCTATCTCACTTCTAGACTTCAATTCCTTCACTCATGACACCAAGTAACTGAACTAGAAGATTTCAAGCACTAGTGCTCAGTGCTAGCCTATGCCATGTCATGTTCAGTCTTCAGTGAAGAAGAAAAAAAAAAAAAACATGTCCTTATGTACAAGTTTAAAGATTCTTACTTAGCAAAATAGATTTACAGGTACCAGGCACTGTGTTAGGCTTTTAACCCCTGCATCCCAACAGCAAGCCTATAATGCAGGAATTGCTATTAATAATGAGAAACCATAGTTTAGAGAAGTAACGTCTCCAAAGAAATAGAGTTACTAAATGACAGAGCAAGGACTCAAACCTCAGGCCTCAGCCTCTGAATCTCAGTCTCTCCATCAGTTACACAGTCATCTAGTGCCACTTTTTCTCCAGGACATCTCAGATTTTCCATTAACTTGTACTAGAAATCATTTCTCCCTTAACCTTTAATTCTGTATTTCTCCAAGTATTGCTAGCACATGTGTACACACACATAACACACACATGTGCTCCTTACTTCCCAATTCAGTCTGTTGAAAAAGGACATCTATTATTAACCTTAGATTTCTTTCTCTCTTTTTTTCTTTTCTGTTTTTTAATTGGCATAGGTGTATCAGGTTTCTATCAGAGTGGCTGCCATTAAAGAGGACAGATATACTGATACCCCGTTTTAGGTGACATGAGGAGAATGAATCACAGTGAAACTCAATGGGGCACAGAGAATAATATATATAAGGGACCATTGGACCATAGCCCATTATATTTGTATTTTCAACCTAGAACATCTCCAAAGAAGCTCCTAATCTCCTAATACTTCTTCATTTAGAATTTAAGATCAAGTCACATTTTAAATATTAGCAAGTTTATACTAAGATACTGCTCAAGGTCTTTTTTTTTTTTTTTTCTTTTTCCTCTTCTGTAATGTTACTGATACCAAACAAGGCAATCTGATTAAATACTATTCACTCTCCCTGGAATCTTCACAATTGTACTTTACTCCACAGGAGGCAATAATCATGTAACAATTTCAGCAAAATTTCCCTTACATTCAGAGGTAGTTTTCTTACAGCCAAACCCCACTGATCCTGTTGAACTTCACTTCTAAGTAGCCAGATTGATCCTGTTTGCTAAATCTGAGATTCCTACACAAATGACCAAGGCTGTTCCGTTCATCTCCATGAGTTATAAAACTTTATAACTCCCTTTGTCTATTCATTAAAGAACAAGAATTGATATGGGTGATATTAACACTAACATCGAATCCAAGGAACCATTGAAGGCACTGTTATTTTAATTGCTTTTATGACTCACGAGACTCCCAAATCTTACTTTTCTTATTCCACTCACAACTCTTACTCTCTTGCCAACTCTGCAAAGAACACTAAAGAAGTTAATGCTAATTCAATTCACTACTCAGCGTTCAACTTATGAAGAAAACTGCTAGTTTTGTAGGTATCACCAATTTACACAATAAAATTTTTCTCCAAATGACATCATTTATGGGGAAAAAACTATTGACAATGAAATATATTGCTTTATGACTTCAGGTTTTATTTTAGGACTTTCTATCAAACATATGAAGGCCAGTATCCATGATTTGTAGTTTTTGAGACACAATAATCACTAGCTGACTTTTTTAGACTTTTCTAAAGAGGAAAAAAGTGCAAACACCAAAAATTAAACTATTGAATTTTGCAGATTTTGAGAAAGACCAGAATATTTAAAACAAAACCTAATGATGAAAATAGAAACACATTTCATCTAAGGCAATATATGATTTACCAGTTTATGATGTGAAACTGTAAAATGTTTGCTTAAAATGTATTTGTTCTTCCCAAAGTTCAGTTTTAAAAAGTATCCTTCAAATTTTTTAACATTTCACTGACTTAATATCTAGCAAATGGAATAAAATGTCAAGGTATTTGTAAACACTTTGACACAGATTTTTAATAATAATAACATAATTATAAAAGCTCAGAGAAAATAATACTGACATCCTGCAGACATAAAATAAGTTAAAAATTTTTCTACTTAATAGGGACAAAGTCCACGTTTGCCTTAAAGTCCAGTATATTTTCAATTTTTGTGAAAGCCAGAAGGGATTTAGTTGTGATGTAAACAGATACTTAAGATAATCATAAATACCTGCCAGTCTTGTTTTAGAAAGTAAATTCACCAAAAATATGATTTAACAGGGTTAGCTCAAATAAGGAGGCATCCTTATATGACAAAAGACAGAAAAAGACAAAAAAGATCACTCTATTTGTACCCATCCACTCTTAGGTAACCAAAGAACTTCCTTTAGGTAATAATTTATGCTTTTGTTAATGGAAATTCCCACTTACCGTAGCTTCATTGCAAACCGTACACTTAACCACATGCTGGTGAAGTTTGCCATCCAAATTGATTAGCGATTGGCACACGCGGCAGTTGATTACAGGAATACCACTGGCATCCGGGCTGGCAATAGCGGTGTATGGAGGTGGAAGTTCCGCTGAAAAGAAATGAATTGCTGAATCAGAGTTGCTGAGAAATGGCTAGTTTGATGTATAAGCAATAGAAGTAGAAACTATCAAAACTTTCCACCATTTTGTTTTAAAACTGCTCAATTTGCCCTACTTTCAGGGCATAAACACACATGAACTATGTTGTCAAGTAGAATAATACTTAATGCTGATAAAATCTCAATCTTGTTTGCTTAGGTTCTCCCCAATGACCCAACTTCCTTTTACTAACATACACTCAAATCTCCACTCCATTCCTTGGGTAAATTCATAAAGGAGAGCTTTAGGCCTAAACTAAAAATTTCACTATTGATCTGACTACCAAGAAATAAAAGTGGTCACCAAAAGTGAAGTTTTAAAATCACTTATACATGTATATAAATTGTGTACTACCATGCTTTTTTCTCTGTTCTGGGCCCAGAATGGTCATGACAAAAATAAAATGAGAATTTGGAGGCAGACAAGGAGAGACAAAAATAAATCTAGGAAAACTAAACTAATCAGTGGGGAACAAAAATGGAACTATTCAGGCTGGAGATATAGCTCAGTTGATAAAGTGCTTACCTCACATACACAAGGCCCTGGGTTCAATCCCCAGCACCACAAAAAGAAAAAAAAAATGAACTATACTAATTTCAGACACAAGACAGAAATAAAGTAAATTTAACAATTTTCGCTTCAAATTTCTCTCTACCATTACAGATCTAAGAAATGCACTTAAGTATTTATGGATAAAAAATATGATATTGGTATTAAATATTCCAGCAGAATAATCACAATGAAAAAATGCGGAACTGATGAAACAAGAGTAGCAAAAGCTGATAATTTATGAATATAATAACACAGAAGGTCGTTTCGTTCATATTACTTTTGCAAATGTTTGGAAATTCCCATAACTCAAAGATGCACATATACTAAGTTTGTCATTGTTTGTTTTGTTGGGAGATTTAAGTGTGATAGAGTGGGTAAAGGTGTGACCTGGTTTCAGAATCAAGTGTGCAGCCTGGATTCAGAATCAAGTGTTCATCTGAAGCATCTATTGTTAGAAAACCAGAGAAAAAGAACCCTGATATACTACTCTAACATGTGATTTCTAAAGGACACTGTCTAATCTCTCTATGTAGACATCTCAGTTATAGGTAGAGAAAGCCCTTTTGATGTAAGGTATTATCTCAGGACATTTAGAAAGGGTCACACCCTTACACATGATTGAAGCACCTCTAAAAAGAACTGATATCTCAAGAAGAGTTTGTAACACTACAAAATACAAGCACAATAGCTAATTATGAAAAAAGCTATTTGTGAATAGTGGTTTTTGTATCCACTGTATTAGATTCTGAATTCTGTAATAGTTTAAACAGCATCAAAGCATAGCACAACATTTAAAATCTACATATTATCATGAGGTATTCTTGGGGTTCATCACACACATTGTTTTTCAGACTGCAAAGGATTAGCAACAAGTGTTATTCATTCAAATGATTCATAAGCCAAATTTCTGCAACAGCCAAGGCCCTGAAAGAGGCCACTTTGAAATGATAATATGCTTACATTTCTGGGAAGCTTACACCAGAACACTGCCAAACACTGAATTTGAAAGAAGCTATACATGCCTTAAATTATAAAAATAGCTTTAAATCCCTTGAAAGAATGTGAGGTTGATACAGAATAACCTGTAATACATTAAGAAGACAAAAACAGGTTAAAGAAACAATGAGTCAACAATACATTTAAGATCTTGCAATTTGCAGATTGCTTTATCAGATCTCAATAAAGAAGCCATTATTCTGGGGAAAAGAATACATATGTCACTAAAAATTCAAGACACACTGACTCATTTCAAATAATTATTAGCATTATTAATAAACCTTAATTTCCTCTCTTATTTTTCCTTTGAGTTATAAAGTAAAATGAACTAGTTCTCCCATAATCTCAGAACTCTGTTTTTCATACAGCATAGAACAGAAATTTAAAGTCACAATGATTTCACTAAAAAAATAATAATGATAATAATAATAATAACAATAATAATAAAGCCAAGTACACTGGGGGTGAAGGGAGGAGTTAACACATGGCAAAGACATCAAAAGACAGTAAAATCCATCTAGTCAAACAAACAAAAAAATTGCTCAAAGCATCCTTCTAAGAAAACTTCAGACGGTGATCCTAAGAATCATTTGATTTGCATCAGACTCTACAAAACTTTGTGGACATTTCCTGTAAGATTAGCACTACATAATTTTAAGTCTGCCAAAACAGAAAAGCCTTTAATGACAAAAGGATGTTCAAATCTACTCTTTTGGAGACTTTGGAAATGGAGAAAGGTGGATGGGATAACCAGGAAGGAGTGGGAATATAAAATGGGAGAGACCTTAAGCCCCATGAGGCTGAGGGCATGCCTGGCACTTGTCATAATGCCTACTCTATCACAGATGGTTACTAAATATTTATTGAATGATTGAGTGAATCACTGAAATTCTTCAGACACATCTATTGCTTTTCCAAAAATAACACTAAGAATATTACAACTAGTCTCCTTGTAGAGGAGCTGAGAACCTAGCAGAAGAGGGCAGCTTGACTGAAAAATATGGCTGCCTCCTCCATGAAAGAATAATTTTTCAAAATGTGCACTGAAAGAGGTGAGGTTGACAGGGGATATTGGTCTGGCTGACCAGACACATGGAATCAATCCAAGAGATCAATAGAATGACAGATGTTATAGCCTAATTGCTCCACTAAACACTGCTTCTAGGCCTTCCATTTCAATTTTCTGCCCATTACTTCAGCATTAAGACAATTTAGAGATATTTCTTATACTGGCCCTGCCCTACCACTAGGACTTTATCCCAAGGAAGCCTTCACCTATCTTCCCTTGTAAAGGACTTGTAATTCCAGAAATTGCTTCCAAAGTTATCAGACCTACAATAATCAGCAACTGAGATCCTTTCATGTTCTATGCTTTCACTTTAAAACAAGGCAACAGATCACCAATACAGTCCTATTTAAAATTTTTGGCACTAGGTGGAAAGTCCACTGCAATCTCAGGATTGGGTATCACTAGACAGGAAAGATTCACAAAATTTTTCATTTTGAAGAGTCTTAATTGTTAATTAAACAATGGTCATTTTTTTTCTATGGAAGTGAATAAATCTTAATAAATAAATAAAATAAATGAAAAAAAATGTTTTCCTCCCTATGAGTAGTGTTTGTTAGATTAATAATCCCTTATCCTAAAACACTCCCTCAAATCTCCAGAATTGTACAATGTTAGACATTGGAGCAATCTTAGGAATTATATTGTCCAATTTGTTTATTTTATGGAAAAGAAACTAAGCCCAGAGCCCAAAGTCCTGACCTTCTAAAGGTTACACAGACATTCAGCAAAGCCAAGATTTGACCCCTGCCCCAGAGATCTCTGCACAGCGACCACCTTCCTTGGTGAGTAATGACTTAACACAGGGAGAAAGTGAGAGGACTAATGAGACTATTCTGTAGAATCAAGCAAGAATTCAACAGTGAAGGTATCTGAAAAAAAATCAGATCTGGAAAATCAGAGCCGGAGGGGAAAAAAAATGAACAGAGTATAAAAAAAAAAGACATCATGTGACAATGAAAGTTCATTGAAAAACTGAAACTCATAAAAGAGGCAGAATGAACACATATGGATCCCAGGCATTCACAGTGGTCTTCCTAAAACACTCAAAAGGAAACATTACTATTCCATAAACCCACAAATGATCAGATTACATTTTCCCATCATCACAAACATCAATATAATTTATCTATTTCATGCCAAATAGCCCCTTTGTCTTGCTAATTCATCCTGGGATATTAATCTATAATTCATTTTTTTCCCACAGATACATCCTCCAGCATTTTAAAGGTAGAAATACTTTTGTTGGGTTGCTCTCAACCTTATTAGTCTCTTCGATGGCAATATTTGCCAGTTTAATTCACTTACTTCACTTGTATACTCTCTATATTCAGCCCTCCAGCCCTTGACAAAGTGTATCAAAAATGGAAAAATGGCATCAGATTAAAATGAGAGATATTTTAGGATTCTGTTATAGAAGGAGAAGCCTGTGAGGAAAACCTGGCTTTTTTCCTCCTCTAGGTGACTGAGTTGTAAATTCCATATTTTTTAATTGTTGTTGTCCCCTCAGCCGCAGTAGTGGCAGCTGTTTTCTTTCTTTTTTTTTTTCTTTTATGTTTGTATTAGTGAATTATAGTTACACATAATAGTGGGGTTCATTTTGACATAATCATATGTGCATAAAATATAATTCACTCGATTTCAGTCCCCAGTGCTTTCTCTTTCCCTCCCTTCCTCCCTCCCCCCATTATCGCTCCTTTACTGATATTCCTTCATTGTAGGAACTCATTTTCCCTTAGGATCTTCGGGATAGTGTGGGTTAGAGATGAAGTGAGTTTGGCCACTATGGGATAGCTATGTCTAGTGGCAGACCTTTCCAGACCAGCTCAACACAGAGAACAAAAAGCCTAGATACTCTTCTTCCCCTTTTCTGAAACCAAAGAAATTAAACTATCCCAAGACACTCTGGGGTTCTCTTAGACCCATGACTCTCTCAGGAGGATCTACCTAGCAATACTCAGATTAGAATGTAAATGTGCTAGGGATCAGTTTCCTGATCCTCAACTCCAAATCCACCCTTCTGAATTCTGCTTTGGAAAACTGATGCTGGAATACTGCAAACCATGCTTCAGCTTCACCAGGTGGATACTGGTAAGCCATTAACAGAAGATAGAGCCTGCAAAGTTGAAGGAGGAAGAATAGACTTGTCCCTTCTATTTGTTGCCTGTTTGCTCCCTAGGAGCTTCCTATCTACCTGTTGTCTATCTGATTGTCACCTCAAAAGTACTACTTCATCCTGGCAGTAGCATTTTGTTTCCATAGCAACACTGAATCCAGTTCCCAGTTTTCAACATTTGCCAGAACCAACTTCACAGTGTCCCCTCCAATAAAACCCCA